CTAATTAAATTGAATAATTCCCAATTAGGTCAAATAATCCCCAAATGGAAGGAATTATTTGACCTAGGGTTAAGGATTAATCTGGTTCCCACAAATGCCCCCCAGCTTCTGCATGGCGCGTGGTGGCATGTAGGGGATGTAAATTATCTGTTGGGCTGTCCAGCTGTAACTGGGCTTCCTTCTTGGATTTGGGCTCCCAATTGAAGTGGGCTTTTGACTGTTCTTGGAGTTGGGTTCCCAGTAGGAATGGGCTTGCAATTCCTTCTTGACCTAGGATGCCCAACATGCATAAATGCAGGGCTTCTCTTCACTCTTCTTCACATCGCAAACTTAACTTCTCTACTTTCTAGCTTGAGAGAGATCTTGGAGAATTTGTACTGCTTGTCGAAGAGAGGAGTCGCCGTGCATCCCAAGGTAAGTCGAGCACATATATTTCTTTTTCTTCTTTTTTGCTTCGAGGATCAACTAGGGGAAGCCCGACTAGTTGTCGTCGTGACAGGCGACGGCTAGTAGTGGGCGGCATCCATGGTGGAGCAGGTGGACCATCTCCTGCTTATCGTCACAGGTCTGGGCTGAAGCATGCTTGGCCTCATGCGTTGCGGGACTCGTCTGCTGGGCAAGTATCAGAAGGAAGTTGGTGGTCTGCCCCCTGCCCAGGATGTTGGAGAGATGGAAGCAGAATGGTCCAGACTCTAATGATCTGCCCAAAGGAAGGCTGATGTCAAGTCTTCAAGAAATGGAGTTGCGACTTTGCATGCGAATGATGTGTCTCCGTTGAGGAAGAAGCCAAAGTTCCTTTATGCTGAGAAGACTCAAGTGGGGTCTGCTCCATCATCATCTGCTAGGGCCAAACATCTCACGGGCGCATATAGCACGAAGGTTGGTGGTATGCGCGGTGTTCGGGGTGTCCTGCCCGAGTCTCATGCTGGCAAGCCTGAAAATCTTGATCTGCTTCGTGAGGCAGTTCGTGCCCAATCTAGTTCTGCCGAGCGTCAAAGAGATGCCGATATTCCTCCTCGAAGTATGAGTCGTCTGCATCAGCCAAAGGATGGAGATCGAAGCGAGAGGTCTGCTCATGATCCAGCTGTTGAGTCAAGGGCAGCCAAGCGCGGAGTTGATTCAGCATCATTGACTCCTTTGGAGGTGAGGTTGGCAAAGGCTAAGAAGATGAGAGAGTCATCTGCCCGGGCGAAGGGTGATTCTTCAGCGTCAGCGGTTGATCCCAAGGTGAACAAGTCCAGCCCTGCAGGGGATGTAGGCGTGTTTGATATGCTCCAGACGAACTTTCTGTCAAGCCCGTCCATTGGTGATGAGCTGGTTAACAACGTCCGCCAGGCCAGCGACATCGAGATCGAGATGCTGAAAAAGGAGTCGCTGAAATGGAAATGATCCCTTCTATGCCCTTGGAGATGGAGACATTGAGATGCTCTGTTCTGATTTGCTCTATGGGTAAAGTGAG